TTCGCGAGGGAGGCGTTTTGCTTCCTGCTTTGTAGTGGACACAGTTGAGGCCCAGAGTGTGTCCAGCCTGACTTTTCACCTAAGCCACTTTCCTCCTGCCCGCACCAGATGTGTGCAGGGCTGGGAAGGGGAGAAAGAGTGACGCATTCCTGCCCCTGCTGTAAGCAGAGGTTACGGATGCCTGGGGCACTACCTGCTCTCGAGCTGGAAGGGACAGCGCAGGCTAGGCCTCAGGGAAACGGGCCGTGCTCACGCGTGTGCCGGTAACGTGGGGCATGAGCCTGCCGGCTAAGGGGCTGTCCTCTCCATCCTGAGGCCTGACCCTGCAATCACATGGCCACCCCTAGAATCTGGTCAACATGCCTGGCGGGAAGAGTCAGTAAAGGAGAGTAATTTCCTGCCCATGATTTGTGAATCTGACCGTAGCGGACAAATGCTTCAGAGCTAGAGGGGGTGTCAGAGATTTTTTTTTTAAATTTTGTTTGGCTTTGATTTTTTTCAGTTAGGAAAATGCAAAAGAGCCTTTGGCGTGTTTGAGAAAATAAGCCAAGAACAATCACGTTCACCCTGACCCTGTGAAGCTTGTCCAGTTTCCTATGCTGGTTCTGACTCCCAAGTATTTCTGGAAGGCAGGGAGGCAGGCCCAGCCATCTTCACCCCCGCCTGGAGCACTGGAGTGTTTGTGCTGGAACCTGAACACCGTGGGCTCAAACTCAGTAAGATCTGCTGTTTTCTTGAGTTTTCCCTTCCCAGAAAGGCTCTGATTTAAACCAAAAATTCACCACAGAAGGGAATGGGACTGGCCTAAGATTTAGGATTGTATGTCAGAGTATAGGCGATGCTGCTGTAACAAGGTGACCTCAAAACACAGCAGCTCTGGCCGCCATCATGCCCATGGTCTGCACAGTGGAGTGGGAGGTCATGGTCCACTAATCGCAGGGCATCTTCAGCTGGAAGTTGCAGTCAGCCCTAAGCTATCATTTCATTGGTCAGAATGTGGTCACGTGGTCATGCCTATTGCAAGGGAGGCTAGGAAATGTAGTCTAATAGGATGGCCGTATGCCAACATAAATGTATTGAGGGTTTCCAGACCTGGGCACTATAGATATTTGAGCTGGTACTTAATTGTGGTGGGGCTGTCCTGTAGGATGTTTAGCAGCATCCCTGGCCTCTACACTAATGCCAAGGGCAACCCCTACCCCCTGTTGTGACAACCAAAAATGTCCTCAGACATTGCCAGATGTCCCCTGGGTGCAAAGTCACTCCTAGTTGAGAACCACTGGGCCAGATCAAGGATCCCAAACTCCAGTGTTCACAGCGCCCAGGCAGGAGGAGAGCTGGGGTAGGCTGGGGTGAGCCTATTGAGCATGTCCCACCAGGACAGGACAGCTGCCTCTGGACTCCACCCTGCCAGCTCTCGTGCTGGACAGGGACAGACATCTGGATTTTCATGTGAAATATCCTAATTGCTTATGGATAGCACCTAATTAAAAAAGGGAAGAAGCTGTGTGGTTGTTACGGGTTGAATTGTGTCCTTCCAGAAAGATACATCTACGTCCTAAGGCCAGAATCTGTGAAGGTGACCTTATTTGGACATAGGGTCCTTGCAGATGAAGTCAAGTTCAATGCGGTCATACTGGAGTGGGTGGGCCTAATTCAAATGGCTGGCGTCCTTATATGGAGAGGAAAAGACAGACACTCAGAGAAGAAGGCCACGTGAAGACAGAGGCAGAGACTGGAGTGATGTGGCCACAAGCCCACGACGACTGCAGCCACCAGAAGCTGGAAGAGGCAGGAAGAACCCTCCCCTGGAGGCTGCAGAGGGAGGTGGCCCTTCTGACACCTGGATCAGACTTGCAGCCTCCAGCACTGGGAGAGTCAATTTCTGCTACCCGGTGCAGTGCAGCTCGTGGGCTTGGTTGTGGCAGCTACAGAAAACTGATAAGTGTTCCAGTGCTTGTCTGTGCCTCCGGGCTGCAGGCTTCCTGGAGCCCCCACCCCCAGCTTGGTGGGCTGGTCTGTGGGTCTGTCTTCAGCGTGTTATTCAAGCCCAGCTGCACAAAGTGGAATGCAAGCTGTCAATCCCTTACATCTGGGGGTCATCGGGACAGTGAGACAGGCCACATGGACACATCCAGTCACAAACCACCACAGCCGAGCCTGTAGCCCCCACAGACCCTGCCTGGAGCAGGACTGGTGTTGGGCAGGAAACAGAAGTCCTTTCCGCCCTGGCTGCACTACTGCGGGGTCCTCTCAGACCTTCAGTTTCCTCATCTAGCAAATGGGGAGAATCGAATTTGCTTGGGACAGGACAGAGCCTCCCTAAAGGAGTGCCGCTGAGCGAGTGTGCATATTAAATGGCCATCCGCACACTTGCTTCTTCATGCAGGTAATGTGACCACTATCTATGAAGTGCCACTGTCACTGTTCTCTCAAATTGCACACCCCCAGGGTCTCTCCACAGTTCCCTTCCTCCAGCCTCTGAACTCCCGGGTCTTATCCTGATCTGATGCCCTGTATCCTTAGGCGGTTTGCCACACCTCAGGCCTCAGTTTACCCCTCTGAACGAGTGGCTTGCCTCTGATTTTCTCAGGACCCTCCCAGCTCTATAAATTCTAGTTAGGTAGAATCCTGTTCAGGCGAGGTGGAATTATGAGCTATTGTTATGCAAGAACACAGGAGTACAAAGATACTTTCAAAAAGGGAGCAGAACAAAAGATTAAGTAGATGGCTCCGGTATTATACTTAGAGAAACTATTTTAAAACCGAAGTACTTTTTACTGCAGTGTTAATAGGAATTGCCCTGGGAAACCGTGTTTGACTTTCACAAAAGGTTTGTATCGACAGGACATGTTATCATTCAATTTCTAGGAAAGGGGAGTAATTAGATGCCTCGTTCCAGATATTGTTTCAATTATAGCAGGAAAAAAAAACAAAAAACGGGGGTGCCAAAAAAATGTGTACACATTTTAAGAGATGTTATCTCTGCCCAAGCAGCAAGTTCGCCGTAGTCAGAAGTGTCTGGATGCTGATGGGAGCTACTTTGAGCACCTCTTGTAATTGCAGAAGTCAAACGAGACTTGTATTCATCTTTTGTTATCGGTCTATATTGAATATGACAATTAGTACAGTTTTTTCCTTTCTGAAAATGTGTATACTTTTTTTTGGCACCCTCTGTATACAGTATATATTAATTCTATGAGGAAGCAGATGTCCCTTTTCATACCGAGAAGGCGCACTTCCCGATCTCAGAACAGCCCCACAACAGCAGGAAGGCCACGTGGGGCCGCCCTGGGCCTTTGCTCTGGGAGGGGACTAAGGGATGCATGCCTTAAGGTGGAAAGCAGGTACATTTGGGAAACTGAAAGCATCACCTGGTGTGGTTGCAAGGTGAGCCAGTGCCCAGGAGGGGGCGACAATCTAATGGCCCGGCCCCTCCAGACTGGTCCCCAGAGCTTGAAGCGTTGGTGGGGACAGAAGGACTGGGTCCCACCCTGTAGACATGGGTGGCGTCATCCTCATCCCCAGTGACGGGCTGGTCATTGATTCTCACCCTCACCCTCCATCCACTGCCCATGGGAGCTGCCCCAGAGGATTCTGTGCAGATGGAACCGCGAGCACCCCCTCCCGACTGCCGTCCCTGGCAGGAGAAAGCCCAAGCCCGTGCCTAGAACTCGCTTGGCAGTGCTGTGGTGCCTGCACCTCTCCCCTCCCGGCCTTGCATGTGCCCTTCCAGGAATGCTGACCGCTCTGCTCTTCCCTGGTGGCCCGTGCCTTCCACCTCCATACTTTCGTGTGAGTTGCGCCTCTGCACAGAGCACCCTTCCCACCATGACCTTCATGGCCCGCTCTGCCTCATATGTCAAGGTCGCCTCTGCCACCTCCTCCAGGAAGCCCTCCTGGGGCTCCTAGGACACCTGAGGGCTGCCAAGGCACTGGTGTGGAGGAAGGAGTGATCCTTGTCTCACTGTCCTGGGTGCCTCTCCGTGTGCTTGGGCCCCTCAGGGCGGGGGACCCAGGTGCTCCACCTGCAGCACCCCAGGCCCAGCACATGCTGGACACCTCCTGAGTGACCGATGGATGGGTAGATGAGTGAGGAACACAGAGGAAAAGTCCTCCTCTGAGTCCACAGCCTCCATCTACCCTTGCCGTGGACTGAGGAGGGAGGGTGGGCATTTCTCAAGGCCTGCCCACGTGTGTGTTTCCGGAGCCACACTGTCCCCACCCCTCCAGGACCAGGCCTGGCACCGGCTGCCACCATCGCTGACCCTGTGGTGCTCCCACCCCCCTTGGCCCCTCTGTTCACTGCCTGCTCCCTGACCCTGCACTAACCCAGTCTGGGAAAAAGTCCATTTAGCCAGATCTAACCGGACAGGCATGAGGTGGCTGCTATGGGCACTTCCAGGCTCCATGGAAACCTGGGGGCCCGCTGGCACACCCTGACTGCATGAATGTGTGCCGGGGGCCTGACTGTAAACTTCGGTCTGAGGAGGCCAGGTCTGTGGGGCTCTTTGAGGATTAGGTGAGGAAAGGGGGCAAACCCCCAGTTGCCGCCACTCCCTTCCTCCCGGCCATTCGGAGACTGCTTCCACAGCTCTTCCTTGTCGCTTCAATTTAATTATAAATTCTGCTCGGAGCACTCGCTGCTGGAGGCCTCTTTCCGAATGACTGCCTGCTCACCCGTGCATCCTGGCTGGAGCCCCATGCTTCTCAAATGAAATGCACTGGACTCTGTATGAGCAAGGCCAGCACACCCAGGGGCCGGCTTGCTGGGGAGATCAGGATTGGGGTGCTATCTCCTGCATCTGTGTGCAACTCAGTGGTGCATTTCAGCTTACAGCACAGCTGTGGGGGCCGCCGGCCAGCTAGCCTTCGGCAGGCCTCCCCCAAGGTCGTGCTCAGCTCCCCTCAGTGCTCGTTGCCAGCTCCAGGGCCTCCCGAGGGAGCCAGGGGCCATCCACACCGGCTGGACTGTCCTGCTCCCACCTGTGTGTCTCCAGGTCCAGGGCAGACTTGGGTCGAGGACATCACAGATTCTCTCCTGTGCTCTCCGGGGGGCACCGTTCCCAGCTGCTCTTTGCTTGGATCCTGCCAAGGGCAAGTGCTCAGGTGAGGTTTGCAGGGCCTAGGGGCGTGACCTGCACCTGCTGCTGGGTGGAGGTGGGAAGACCTGCTGGCCTGTTTGGATGAATGCTTCCGTGGATCGGCCTTGCTGGTGACCCCGCAGTGGCCACCTGATTGGTACAGCTTCCAGTGATTTTTCCTGAACATCAGATGCATTCTGGTGTCAGCGAGGAGACGGGCAGAGAACCCGAGACCGGCTGGCGGGACAAGCCAGGGAGGTCAAGGAGAGGTCAGAACAGGACTGGGCCGGGTGTTGCCGTGACCGCTTTAAGAGTGCCCCGCAGGCAAGTGGGGCAGGTTCTACCCACACACCCAAACGCCGTGGCTGTGGCGGGGGCCACACTCCTGGCATGTGACAGTGTGACATGCTGGGCACACCGTGGAAACCAGCCACGGGGTGGTGGTGAACGGGGAGGCCTGGAGTGCAGCGCCAGCAGGTGCTGGGTCCCAGTGACTTCATGTGCTGCGTGCAGTTGGATCAACACCAACACTACAGAGCGGCGTGGGGTGGGGACTGATTTCTACGCATATTTGTTTAATCTGGTCTCCAGGACTCGCAGGCCCCCTCACGCCGATGTCTCCAGAGGGAGGTCAGCAAGGACGGGCCCGTGGGGCTGGAAGTGCTCACATCAGCGCTGTGTGTTCGTGCAGGCCTTAGGAAGTCCATGCCCTCTACTAATTAAGCCGTTAGGAGTGCGTCTCCATGGAAACCACTTACTCGGATGCTCAAACAAATGAATATTTATTCAATTAGCCAGCACGGGTGCTGGGGAAACCTGGCTTCCTGCCATGACTATTGTGGGGGCTCCTGAGGAAGTGAGGCACTGTTTTGGAGGGCCACCGTGGCCTGGACCTTTCACCTACATGACCTCATTCTCACAGCCACCCTGCGAGACCGTCATCACCCCCGTTGTATGGGGGACAGGAAGGCTCAGAGCAGCGCAGCCTCCCTGTAAGAGCCAGACGAGGAGCATGAGCCCGGAGGGCCTGGCTGGACCTGTGGCTCCTGCCACAACCCGAGCTGGCAGAATCGGGTGACCCCCAAGGGGAAGCAGAGGGATGGGGCAGCTCTGACATTTCTTAGGGGCAGGCTCACCTTCCGTTGTCTGCTCACCTTTCAGCCCGGATCTCTTGGATGGAACACAGAACCCAATCTCCTACCCAACCTTGAACACCCCGCTCGGTGGTGTCCAGCCTGTGTTTGTCTGCCTGCAATGATGGGGACACAAAGCAGACCCTCAAGATGTGTCCGTCGCGTTGAAGAAGGTTGAATTGAATTGAGCTGCAACGAAATGAAATCATGTGCGTGGCGGATGGCTGAGAGGTGCAAAAGAACACGTCCCCGGCTCCCGCACCCGTGCCCTGAGGCTCTGCAGACTGGACCCACGTATTTGGGCTCAGGCGGAACCGGTGACATAGCGCAAGACCAGTTAGACCGGGGCTTGACAGACACAGGTTCAAATCTGACTCTTCCGACACTCGCTGGGGCTCTCTGTTCCTTGTCTGCAAGGTGGGGATGAAAATACCAGCATGTCAGGACTGCTGAGGAGATGTTTTGTTTCCCCTGAGTAAGAAGCTCAGGGCCAGAGGAGGACGGCCCCATGAAGGTCTTTCTTCTCTGCTTCCCACCTTCTGGCACCCGGGACTTGTTTCAGGATGCAGCCTGAGCACACACCCTGCCTCCCTGGCTGGTTCTGACCCAGTGGACTGAGGGGCCACAGTTTGAGAAAGTGCTTCAGAATTCCCAAAGCTCGTAACTGTCTGATTCCACTTCATCCTTATCACAGCCTGGCAGAATAAATATGATGAACCCACCTATAAAACTGTTTTCGATGCATAATTTATATAACGTAAACCTGACCCATGACGAGTGTGTCTCAGAACTGCTTGAAGATCAAATAGGACCTGATAATGCTTTATAAACTGTCAAGTGCAGTGCACACGGAAGGGTCTATTGTTATAGTAGCTTATGACTGATTTCCCTATACAAGCTGTGTTATTCCCTATACAAGCTGTATGGGGGTGTTCTGGCATCATTATCTGAAGGGCTCCTGGGGAGGGGCTGTGGGCTGGCTGCAAACAGCAGATCGACACAGATGCAACATCTGGGTGCCTCCCCGGGACACGGCCAGACCGCACGCGGCTGCTGCTTTTTTTTCTTTTACTTTTTTTTAACATTTCATTTGGAAATAATTTCAAACTGCAGAAAAGTTGCAAGAATACAAACAGTACAAAGAACACCGGATATCTTTCGCCTGGATTCAATTTTTGCTAACAGTTTGCCCCTTTTATTTTATCATTTGTTCTCTCTCCCCCTTCCCTTCTCCCCCCTCCCCCACAGGGGTGTGTGTGCTCTTTTTTCTCATCTGTTTATGATCCAGCTGCACGCCTCGTAGCCCTCCACCCTCACAGAATAGAGACACTGGCTCCCGTCACCCCAGTGACGTTGCCACCACTGCCCTGGCACCTTTACGAAACCTGCCACCCGTATTCCCATGGTGCCTGCTGCCCCAGTAGCGCCCTTCACAGCACCCTCTCTGGCACAGGACACTCTAGGAGCAGGTATTGCATTTCTTTGTCTTCTCTGGTTTCCTTTTATCTGGACCATTTCCACAGTCCATCTTTCATGTCACTGACATTGTTGAAGAATGCAGTGCTTTTTTAATAGAATGGTGCTCATTTTGGGGTCTGGCCAGGTCCCTTGGGATTAGGCTCAGGGTTACGTTCCCAGCCGCAACACGCAGATGGCGTGTCTCTCTCCAGGTTCTGCACTCCAGGCCTCTCACTGCTCGTGCTGTTGCTGATGAGCTGGTCAAGGAGCTGTGTGATTTATCTGCTGTATAATTACTCTTTATTTCCTTGTAACTAATAAACAGTCGTGGAGGGAGATGCTTTAAGACCATGGAAATTGTCTGCTTCTCATCACCATCTCTCCCTAGATTTAGCATCCATTAATGCCTCTTGCTGATCCAATCTTCGGTTGCAGAATGTTGGTTTTCAAACCCAGCACTGCCCCCACATTTCATCAGTCAGTATCCAGCATCCTACTGAAATGACAGCTCTTCTGTCTCATCTATGTATCTATGTATCTATCTATCATCCATCTCTATCTATCTATCTATCTATCTATCTATCTATCTATCATTTATCTATCTATCTATCATCTATCATCTATCTATCTATCATCTATTTATCTACCTGCCTACTATCTTGCATCAGCCTGAACATTTATAATTCATTCGTGTACTTCATCATTTTGATGCTCACACCATCCAGGCCTGAGCCGGTGGGAGCCCCATTGGGCTGGCTGCTGAGTTCCTGTGACAAGCCACCTTTTTTTTTTTTTTAAAGGGTTTTTTTTTGGTTTTGTTTTTTAAATGGGGAGTTGGGGGAGGGGAACAGCGTTGGAGAATCAGGGAAGGGGAACAGACAAGTTGCTGTCCTTTTGTTCTTCAGTCTAGTTGTACAGGACGGTGCTTCACTGGCCCATGTTGGTATGATCATTGCGCTCTTCCCGGGTGAGGCAGATGGGTCACTGGCCATTGGACGGCTGCTCACGTAGCTCACGGCAGCCCAGCTCCAGGTCGAGCTGTTGTTCACCATCTTAGCTGTAGAGGGCACAGCATCACCGGCCCTCATGTGGGATCTGAGCCGGGGCCCCGCTGCTCAGAGCTGGCATCCCACGCCAGCTGTTAACCAGCGCGCCGCCCGGCTGGCCCGACATGCCACCTTTTTATGTAGCACCTCCTTGCTTCTTGGCATAACAAGATGTTCCCGGCTCATTCCATGCTGTCCTTGCCCCAGCCCTAAAATCAGGCCTTCCCCACGGAGCCCTGGTTCCTTTCAGTGGGAAGTGTGATGGAAACCAAGGTCTGGGTGTCACGGGTCACAGGCACAGAGTTCTCCGCCTTTCAGCAGACAGGCCAGGAGCTGTGCGCACCACACCCCCGCGTGCAAATAGACATGCACACGTGCGTGCACATGCGCTCGGTGCACACTTAGAAGCGATGCATTGATGCCGATACCTCCCCATTCCCTGGCGCCCCCTCTCCCTCAGGGTGCCCCTTCTCCCTCGGGGTGCCCCCACTCCGTCTCTGGGGTCCTGCGACATCTCTCACAGCACCTTCAGAGTTGCTTTGTCCATTTTACTACCAGAGAAAAAACTTACGACTAAAAGGTGTCCTGGTTTGGTCTCACTTTCCGCACCCTGCCCCTCAGACCTTAGGTGCTGTTCCTCCACCTCTTTGCATTCTAAGGGTCTGAGACTGTCTGTTTCCCCACAGCTTCCCCAGCAGGGCGTGTTGTCAAACTTCTTAATTTTTGTCAAGCTAATGGATGAGAAATGGCATCTCAGGGGTGGCTTCAACTTGCATTTCTCTTATGTGAGTGACGTTGAATACCTTTCCGTATGTCCAAGGACCATTTTTATATACCTTTGTGGGAACTCTTTTTCCTCTAGTTTGCTCAATTTTCTATATGGTTTTTGTGTTTTTGTTTCTCAGCTTTTAAAAGTTCTTTGTATATTAGAGACCTTTTATCTACAAAGTTAATTCCAAGTATTTTCTTCAGGTTTATTGTCTTAATTTTGCTTTTTTTTTTCCATGTAAATTTTTTTTTTCCAGACAAATTTGTCAATATTTTCTTTTATTGTAGCTGGGTTTTTAACTCACAGCGAGACAGCCTTTCTCTACACTCTGCTTATAGAAGGATTCACCTGTGTTGGCTTTTCACGTTTGTATATTCAGGCGTCGTACGCTTAGGCCTCTGCTCTTCTGGGTTTGTTCTGTGCATGGTGTGGGAATGGATTTAATGTTATCGTTTTCCAAGTGATTTCCCACTGTCCCAGCACCATTTTATTGGAAAGGTCCTGCTTGCTGTAGGGAATTGAGACGCCTTCTTTCTCACACGCTGGACTCCTCCGTGCAGTGATCGGGGCGGCCTCTCTCCCCTCCCTCACTGGCATGGGTCCCTGTGTCACTTGTGCACGTTTTCGTCAGAGGTCTAAACAGCGCATTTTAGTGAGGCTGCCTCCCCACCCCCACCCGCAGCTCTCCCCTTAGCATTTTCTTAGCCATTCTTGCGTGTTTGTGTTTCCATATGAACTTTAGTTTCAACTCTAGCGTCATACAAAAATGTCCATTGGAATTTTTATTGGGATCATGTTAAATTTATACCCTAAATTAGGAGAACTGACATCTTGATGATGTTGGAACGTCCTAACCTTTCTATTTCGGGTCTTCTTTTGTGGTGTCTCTCAAGCGTGTTTTATGGTGTCTTTCACATGGGCTGTGAACATTTTTTGTTAGATTTACTGCTCTAAGTTGGGGACCAGGGGTTTGGCTGTGTGCTGTTCTCCGTGGGCCCCTCCAGAGCCCCCTCCCCTCCCCCACCCCCTGACCTGTGTGGCCACCTCCAGGGGTCCCTTGCTTCTCACCGTGTTTTCCCATAGGAAGCGCCCCTGGAAAGAAGAGGACAGGATAAGGGAGACGGGGTTTACCCCCTGGCTCGCTGCCAGCAGGCCTGGGTGATTGCATTTCTCTGCTAAGCCTACCACTTCTCCAGGCTGCCCTGTCCCCCGGCTATACCCCCAGCCCTCTCTCTGGGGTCCCTCAGTGCTCCCTCCTTGGTCCTTCAGGCCTGGAGGTCCTGGCTCCCCTGCTGCCGGCCCCAGGAGCTTTATGGTCCATTGTTGGTTGGAAGACACCCCTTCCTCAGACCCTCTGCCGCCTGCCTGGGTTCTGGCTGCAGCGCTCAGCTGGTGCCCCACCTTTTTAAACAGAGCACCTTGGTTTTTCTGTGTTTTTCCCCCACCATTCTCCTGCTCTCAGATTGCATTCAGCTGGACTCCGAGATGGCCCATGACCGAGGCTGGCCACTCGGAGCGTACCTTCCCCATAGCAGGAGGTCCAGGAACGGCAAAGGCAGGACAGAGGCTTCCACTTGGGGCTTTTTTCAGGAGCTACTGGGGGGGACTTACTGTCTTCCCAGAGCCGGACAGTGCTGCGGTCTGGTCTCCCCACCCAAGCACAGGCCTCTCGTGGACTAAAGCAGACCCTGAGAATGGAGACAGTCCTGGTGACAGGGTGGTGCCCCTGGATCTAGCCATGCCTGAAGCCCTGGATTGACCCCCGGGGTTTTTTCTATACATGGGCTAATAAAGTCGCCTTTTTGCTTAAGCCAATTTTGGTTTTGATTCTGTCACTTGCAACCACAGACCCCTGACTTACGTGCAGCATGGGAGTTTTACACTCTGAGAAGCGAAGACAATGCTAGGGGCACCCCGATACTGAGAGCTAACCCAGGGCCCCTCAGAGAAAGGCTTCGCATCGCAGTTCAGTTCAAAGAGAACCCTGCTTCCGGCACAGGCCCCAAACAGGAAGTGGCGTGGGCCCCATGAAGCCTCGGCATTGCAGGGACCCCCACGCCTGCAGCTCACCAGTCTACCCGGCTGCACGAGTCCAGATTCTTTGGGCCCAGAATGCGTCGACCAGACGAGTAGCCTCAGGAACCTGCCGGGACACGGCTTTGCCTGTGCAGGTCTGCTACACTTGACACGTTTGTTTAATCCTCACAGGACCCTGGCAGGCGGGTCATGTTAACATCCCAATTTTATAGCTGGTGAGACCAAGGCTCAGGCTCAGTGAGGCACCCATGGTCACACGGTGAAGGCGTGGGACCACCTTGCAGGATAGGTTGTCGGCAGAGAGGGAGCGAGGCTGCTTGGCTTGTAGCCAGAGCAGTGCTTGAAAGGGCAGCCCAGGAATGACGTGGCAACGTGACAGCTGTCCACCTAGGAGGGCGGCGAGCAAGGAGGGAGGGCTGGTGGAGCGGCATGGAGCCAAGCTCAAATTCCAGGCAGCTGAAGACTAACTTTATCATGGCTGTGGTTTGTAAGCCTCTTCGAGGAATGAGGACCCCTTTTGCCACGGGGCTGGGCAGGCATGGGGCTTGAGGACTTGAGGACTGTAGCAGGTGACTAAAATGGCCACAATTCTTCCCTCTTGAACAAACTAAATTCATGGTCGTTGTGGTAACTACTACATGTGGGGCTATTCATGATAAAGCAGCCGCTAACCGATGTAGGGTGGCCCACGGGGACGAAGAAAGGACAGGCTCGGCACGGGCTCACGTGCAGCACCTCGCACGGGTGCTCACGCAGGTGGAGTCGGTTTCATCTTGTGCTGCACCCTGACCTGCTGACGCCGGCCTGACTTCCCACCAGCAGAGTCCAAGCCCTTCCACGTTCGCCTCTGATGCCTGATAGAACGGAGTCCCCCCAGGTCATCTGTCACTGGCATCCTGGTGGCAATGAGGGTCTGAGGGCAGTTTGAATGCAGTAGAGGGGGTGGCAGCCTTGGGGACAGGAAGTGGGAGGGTAGAGAGGGGCCAGGAAGAGAACCACCTGCAAAGGCAAATGTGGAAGGCAGGGTGTCACCTTCCCCAGTGTGTCCACACCCCAATCCCTGTGAACATGTCACATGACATGGCAAAGAGGACTTTACAGATGTGACCGAGGTCACTACTTTGTGACCTAACACAAGGGGATTCCCATAGGTTATCTGGGGCCCGGTCGGTCCAATCAGAGAAAGCCTTAGAAGCAGGAACGGGCTGTGGCTGGAGTCAGGGGGTACAGAAAGAGTCAGAGAGATTCAAAGTGAAAGGATTCACACGCCATCGTGGTTGGAGGATAGGGGGTGGTGTGCGCAGCATCACGAGGAATTCAGGTGGCCTTAGGGAGCTGAGAGAGGCCCCGCTGACAGTCAGCAAGGAAATGCTACAATTGTGTATTAGTCAGAGTTCTCCAGAGAAATGGAGCCAATGGGATGTGTGTATGTCGAGAGAGGAAGAGAGTTATTTTGGGGGATTGGCTCACGTGACTGTGGGGCTGGTGGTCTGAAATCTGCAGGGTAGACCAGCAGGCTGCTGAGCCAGGGAAGACATGATGCTGCCTCTCTAGTCCGATGGCCGTCTGGAGGTCGCATGCCCTCTCCCTGGGGGAGGTCAGTCTGTTGTCTCTTAAGGCCTTCAACTGATTGGCTGTGGCCCACCACATTAAAGCTTCACCTGCTTTACTGGTTGCCCACTGATTTAAGTGTTAATCTCATCTATAAAACACCATCACA